ATTTTTTCCATTTGAAAACCCCTGTTTTACGTTGATTTTCGAGGTATCAGGATCTCGTCTTAGGATACAGATATTGGCCTAGTTTCTTTTTATTTTTTTATAATATAATTATATAAGTTTGCTGGAATTTTTGTAGATTTTTCCTAATGTTGGAAATAATTTTTTGGGAAGTGGAACTATAGTTATGTGGAGGTGTTTTCCAACAAAATATTTAAAACACAAGTAATTTTAATCCCAAAATTAAATTTTGATTTTTTATTAGTCTTTTAGGTACCTGAGGACAATATTTAAACAAAAATTTAAAAAATTTTTGGGGTTTAAATGGAAAAAACACGAAAATAGGGGTGGAACTATAGTTATGTGGAGCACTGTATAAAGTCTGAAACTTTAATTCCTTCAATCATTTTTGGTCTTCTTAAATTAAAAAATTTTTTTACAAACCTTTTGCATGTCGAAGTAAATTTTTTAATTTGTTTAAAATTTAGACTGTTTTAATTTATTCTAATAACCTAATTTTAGTTTCCCAAAAATTTTTAAATTATTAATTGTTTTTTATTTAATGACAAATTATTTTTAAGAAGTTTTTTAAAACATTTAATAACCAAAAAATATAATATTTTGTTTAGTAAGAATTTTAAAATTTAACTCTAAGGAAATGTTATTTGTAATGATTAAGGCTGTGATTTATAGGCAAATGCCTATTTTTTCTGCAAGCTTAGGATGATGTAATACGTTCAAAAAACGTGTTTTTAGCTTAGTCCGAAGAGTCTAGCATGACTTTTAATTTGCCTATTTCTGCCTATTTTGGACTTTTTGTGCCTTCTTGCCTATTTTGAAATTTTTGGTACTATTTTTGCCTTTTTAGCGATTTTTTTCGAAATTTTGCCTAAAAATCAGTGGAAAATCTAAAAAATCAGTCCCAAATTGGAAAAAATCAGTGCCAAGTCCAATTATTGATGTTTAAATTGTTTATTTCTACTCTGTTGGACATTTTTAACTGGGACGATTTGGTTTTGGGACGTTTTGGGGTGCGGCGTTTTGTGTGTTGGACGAGATTTCCATTTTGTCAATTATCGACATTTTAAAAAATTTACTCCATTTTTTCAAAAAATGATTCAAAATGGTGAATAAATGGTAAAATTGTACTATAATAAATAGTTTATAATTTAAAAATGACGTTTAAATGGTTATTTTTTCTGTTTTTATCTCCATTTTATGGTCTGATAATCTTTTCTACATGCCTATTTTTGTGCCTTTTTTGGCTTTTTGGTGCCTATTTTAGGCGCCTATTTCACTGATTTTACATGCCTAACTATCACAGCCTTAGTAATGATTAAAGCTTTTATTTGTATGACTAACAATTTATTTGTTTAATTGACTTAGAAATAGAGTTATAACCAGACCCCGTTCCCCGAACAATTTTTCACAATTCCCTAACCCCGCTGAAAAAGCCACTTTTAGAGGGCATTTGCCCCCCTAAATCCCATCAGTTCAGTCTACTGAAGATGCTAGTTCGTTTGCACTAGCTGAAGGAGATAAATATGTAGCTATTGCCCAACTGCCTTACTATTATTTGAATACTTTCCTATCCAGAACACTGAAAACCCAGATCTTATCCTTTTTACTGGCAAACCAGGTTCGAACTCTTTACTATATTTATTTTAATATCTCTACAAAATTATTTATTAAAAACTTATATTATTAAATAATTATTAATTTTTATAAAATTATTTATTTATTTATTTAAAAAAAGATAATCCTTCCACAGCGAAGAATTCCTTTTCCATCAATTTTTAATGAAGCCACAAATTTATACATGTCCATTACGCGTTTTGTATTTATTATATATAAAAAATATTTTCTCTCCCCAACATTTTATTTTTTTAATATCCACTGTTAAACCCCCAACAAATTATTTAAATAAAAAATGCTAATTGTTATAAATAATTATAATGTTTTCAAATTGTAAAAATAGCTTACTTAATGTATAATATTTTTAAAAATAAAAAAAATTTATATTTTATCGTGTAGTATAACGGGAAGGATGGGAAGGGATCCGGGATCATTGCGGGGAAGGGATTGGATGGGGATCCGGATTTTTTGAACTGGCCAAGAGCGGGCTTTACTGCCTTAAACCCCGAAAACCACAAAACCCCGGGGTAATTCCGTTTTTTCCATTTTTTTTTGATCCTTATGATTGTCCTCTGAATATACCACAGGGCAATAGAGTTAAATTGATGAAGGAGAAAATCTTACCATTATATACAATTAAAGTAGGGAAACGGGAAAAAAGAGGGGTCAGACTCGGAATTGCCAACCCCGAAATTTATCAAAATATCTCATTTCCGGGCCCGGAGAATCCGATTCCTGACATAGCCCGAGTTCAACCTCTATTTTATATATTTAACAACTTTCATTTATTAACTAATTTATTAAAAAAATTTTCAAAATTAAAAGAAAAATATTGTTTTATTAAAAAAATCTTTAAAAAATGCCCCATTTTATTTCTAAAAGAAATCCCTCAAAACCATTACCAGCCACCTTAGAACAACAAAAAAGGTCCACAACTCTCTTTGGTAATTATGGAAGTACAGCTTGTAGACTGGCACGTCATTTGCAGCAATTCCACAGACAACACAGTTCTCCAGCGATGATGGGGGATGATGAAAATAATTGTGGGGATGACAGCGATGTTTTTTCTTTAAAGTAACCATTTTTCGATTTTCCAAAAAAAATTTTTCCGAATAATTTTTTGCTAGAATATTGGCCGTTTTTAAAAATAATTCTGAAGTGTAATCGAGTAGATTTACACCAAAATTAGTATACTGACTCTTTTTTGGTCTGAGATATAGGCCTATGCCTGTAAATGCCCAAAAAGCATAGAGGGACTGAACGATTTTTAGACTAAAAATTGTAATAACTGAAGTGTTAGAGAAGTATCTAGTTGACCAAAGTTTAAAAACTTAATTTTATCCATTAGGAATATTTTGGAGATTCAAAAGAAATAGTATGGATAAGGTTGTGCCGACGATTGAACCATTTTTACGGCCTCATTTTTATCAAGACGGGCCGTACAAGTCTTTTCCGGGCCAAATATCTCAGGCCCGACTCGATCTTTCGGTCCGAGCCGGTCCACATCGGCAACCCTAATTATGGAGAAAAAAATAGAAAATTAGATGTCAGACCGTGACATGATCTCGGACAAAAGCTCAATTATCGTGATAAGGATTATCCGAGATATCGCAGTCGAAAAAGCTCGTACGACCCTCCAAGTTCTATCTCTACATATCATAATTGGCTCTTGTCCAGTTTATGCGTCCCATGAAAGTATATGCGTCCCATCAACAAAAAATTGGATATTTCTTGGTGTTGCAAAGTAGGGGTATGGTTCCAAAGCATCGCTTCATGTTCGGGATCTACGTCCACTGGGTCTGGGACCGTTCCTTACCCTATACCTCGAAATTTCTGAAAGTTAAAATCGTTTTTCTGAAATTTTTAAAAATTGGCTATAACTTTCAGAAATTTCGAAGGATAGGGCAAGGAACGGTCCCAGACCCAGTGGACGTAGATCCCGAACATGAAGAAATGCTTTGGAACCATACCCCCTTTGCAACACCAAGAAATATTTAATTTTTTGTTGATGGGACGCATATACTTTCATGGGACGCATAAACTGGACATGAGCCTCATAATTACCCTCTAATTTTATTTTTTGCCTTTTTCCTTTTTTTGATTCTATTTTTAGAACAGTGCTATAAAAATGATTAAAAATCACTTAAACATTTTTAAACATGCCTTATTCCTTTTTGAATATAATTTACTAGAAAAAAATGTTAAAAAATAATTTTTAAGCTTTTAAGCTTTGACTTAAAAGCATTTTTAATCTTTGACTAATTTTTACATGCTTTATTGAATTTATTTTATTTAAAAAGGTCTGTTGTCGCGTGGTCGGTTTTTGGTGATATTGATACAGATTTTAAACACACTTCAACACCAAAAAGTCAAAGTACCGAAAATGTTAACGAATTAATAGGAAAAATTTTTCAAAAAGGTAGTTTTTGAAGGATTATATATTTTTTGGATTAAATTAGCTTTTTTGAAATTAAAATTTAAGCGGAGGGTTACCATACGGGTTTCAATTTGTTTATTCGAGTAAAGGAGCTGGTAATAGTTGCGAACATCTCAATCAGAGTAATGATGTTGCCATACGGGTTATTCTACTTTTATAAATTTATAACGGACTTCATGGAGATCCACGGGTCTTCCAATGGGGACCTCGTGTTATAACGGACTTTATGGGGACCTTCGGGTCTTCCAACGGTATCTTTTAAGGAGACCTAAAAATATCTCTTCAGAGAGACTCGCTTTCAGAGAGACTCCGCTCCGACTTAGGTATATTTCTGGGGTAAATTCAAGTATCGAGATTTCAAATAATAACTGATGTCCTATGTATTTGTTCTGGGATTTGGGCCGGGTATACATGGAAATCCCGATTGGTATAATGGAAAGAATCTTTTCAGTCTTGTATATTAATTTTTTTCCATAGTTAAAAAAATATTTCTCTCTCAAAAGAAATTTTAATTTAATTTTCTGTCAAAAATGCAACAATAAATAAATAAAAATAAATCCGTGCACGCCTTTTAAACTATAAAAAATGTCCAAAAATATTTATTTTTATTTCAAAATTTAAAAATAAATCTAAGTAAGCAATATATACTTTTGGGAATTTTCTTTTTTTTAATAAAAAAAAATTTTTTTTCATCTTTTGACACTAAAAATTTTTGCATTATTTATTTAACAAAATAATAAAAGGCGAAAAAAAAAGAAATTTATGCATGACTGAAAGGCACACAAAAAAATTGTCTAGTAAGTTGACTAGGCGAGAAAAAACTCTCAAAAAATGCCACCTTCCATTTCCATTTTTCTATTTTTATATTTTTTTTAAAAATATATAAATTCAATTAGTTAGCCAAAAATATTTTTTTTGGGTATTAAAAAAATTTTTTTAATTTTCCAAATTTTGTAGATATGTTCAACGTATTTTTCTCGTTAGCTAAGGATGGAGGGAATGGAACAACAATACCTAACGGTATTAAATTTAATTATTTTAAAATTTTTAATAATGTAAAGCATATACCGTAAATGCTCGGATAATTACCCTCTCTCAAATAATTACCCTCTTTAATAATTACCCCCTCCCTTTCCTTCTCTAATTTTAAAAATATTGAAAGAATCATTGTCAATTTTAATCAACATCAATTAATAAATGGATTTTCTCTCGATTTATTGAGATATACTCAAAATTTAGCCCATCCTCTCGATTAATTACCCTCTCCAGCGAGAGGTCGAAACAATAATTACCCAGGGTAACTCCTAACACATCAGTCCGGTCTACTGAAGATGCCGGGTTCGCTCCCAGCCGCCTAAAAACCTTTTGCACTAGCTGAAGGAGAGAAATAGCTATAACCCAGCTGCTTTACTATTTTCATATCCTTTTTTCAATTTTTATTCAAAAATTTAAAAATTCCAACGAGATGGAGTCCGATATTAAATACATATATCTCCTTAAAAAATTCGTTGACTAAAAATATTTTATAATTTTATTCCATACAACAATTATTCACCGATTTTTTGTCCCCATTTTAGAGGAACGATTAAATAGGCTAAAAAATTATTTTGACTAAAAAAGAAACATTTTTAATTATTTTTAAACACAAAAGATTAAATTCCTAAGGCAAGTTCTTTAGAAAAAAGCGAAAAGAGGTTTCGGGGGAAACTTATTACCTGTATAGAGCGCAATTTAGAAAAACTGAAAGAAACTAAAAATATTTTGGAGGGGGGGGGGGGGAGATCGGATGCAAGAAAACAGGGAGGAACGGGAGAATCGAAAATCCCCTGTCTCGGTTCTGCCCACAGAACCTTCAAAAAAGGAGGGAAAAGGGTGAGAAAACACGCCGGGTTTCGATCTCGTCCCTGTCTCCTATTACCAATACCCAAGATAACCGGGTACTTATTTACTTCCCCCCCCCCAGTCAATTTTTTAGAAAATATGTAAAAATGGTCAGTCTGTAAGAAAATTTAGAACACATCGAGCTGTTCGAATGACACCAAAATCAACAAAATCCGACTAGATTGGATCCCTGAAAATTGAAAAACCATAGGGCGATTTTTTGGAATAATAAAGATTTATACAAATACCGATAATCTAGATAATGATAGTAAAAAAATTATTTTTAATAAAGGTCCAATAACCAACAATAAAGAACAATTAACAAATACTGTATACAAAGAATATAGAGCTACATCTCGCTTATCCGAACCGTAATTTTAAATCTTTTATCAAAATCCTAAAATATTCTCAAAAGTTATAAACGTCTTCGAAACGCAATAAAAAGAATGGAGGAGGAATATTCAAAATCTAAACAGCATAATTTAATTATGAGATATATGAGGATGCAAAAAATGATTTATGAACTTGTACAAGTTGAAAGAGAATATTGGTTAATGGTTGATATACCTCCCCAAGCTATTTCCGAAACTCCACAGGAATATGCTATTAGGTAGAGGATATATACAAATAGTTTATTTTTGATAAAAAATTCCCCTATCATAAATACTAGCAGGGGTCGATCGGAGAAGACGAAGGTGTCGGAAATCGGAACTGTCGGAAATCAGAAATGGCTCAAAAGTCGGAAATCGGAAATTATCCTAAATTTTCGGAAATCGGGATTCAGATCGACCCCTGTGTGTTCGAACCGAATCGAGAGCTCGAACAATAAATAGATATTTTTAGAGATATCTACATATCTCGATTCTCTTCTCATACAATACTCCCAGTCTTTTTAAATGCTATATGATTTTTTAATGTATACAGAGCCCAAAATCAAGTGTATTCATTATTTGGAGTATCGTTGATCATTCTAGGATAGCATAAAAATCGCGGGCATCCTGAGAAAGAAATAACACTCAGATTGGAGAGACAAATCGCGCGCAACTTTTCTTTCTTCTTTCCCAATTAACTTTTCTGTCATCCAATGTAAATTTAGAGAATTTAACTGAAATCGAGGCATCAATTGTGGGTTACGTTAAATTGAGTAAAAAATATAATGAAAAAAATATATCTAACATGAAATAATTTTTAAAAATTAAATAGGGTTGCCAATTTGCTCGATGAACAATATGGGCGAAACGAAACTTCTCCCAAGCCTGGTGGGGCAATTGCACAACTTCTCGGAACAACAATGTGTATTGCTGAACGCGCAAAGGGCTCTACTTTATTAAATACTTTAAGAAGTATATTAATAATTTCACAAAAAATTTTTAAAATTAAATTTTTAAAGTGAAATCAATGGAAGATTTACGCAACTTGATGGGTCAACTTAGCACAGAACTTTACCGTCTCATTCATAAATATTTGGCATTGAGAACGGCAGTGAAGGACCTTTCTAGAGCATATCAACATACTCGCTATTATCCTTTAGTTCCGAGATATAATTTGGTAATAGAAAAATTTTACAAAAAAAATTTCGAAAAATTTCAAGAAAAATTTTACAAAAATTTCAAAAAATTAAAAAAAAATTTTTTTGAAAAATTTCAAAAAATTTTCAAAAAATTTTTGAAAAAATTTTCAAAAAAATTTCGAAAAAATTTTTTGAAAAATTTCAAGGAAAATTTCAAAAAAAATCTTCGAGAAATTACAAAAAAAAAAAACAAAAAAATAATTTTTTAGTTAAAAGCAATGATTAAAAGAATAATCCGCTCATCCCCTATTTCTGAAGATGATCATCCCAAAATTGAATTTTAGTAAACTAATTGATATTATTAAATAAACGTCCATATTTATTTGTGATTTATTCATATAATTTTGTGTTTTTAAATAATAAAAAACTGCTGAATTTATGTGCAGACAGAAAGTCACGGAATATTCAATTCAAAATTATTACTTTATCCTTCGACAAAATTTATGTGATAATTTTATTAATTTTCCTTTGCACAGCAGAAAAATTTTTTTCATAATTTTGGAAGGCCAAGAAGCCAGATTTTTTGCCTTTTCAAAAAAAGATTGAATAAAAATTATAGAAAAATTGCCGATTTAAAAAATTACAAAAATCGGAAAGGAAATTACCCTCCATGTAAACCGATACAAAAGAACCCGAGAAACTAACCACTCAAACGCAAATCTACAGAACAAATATCAATGAGAATTTCGATAATTTATTCATTTTCTTTCAAAAATAATAATAAAATGTAATTTTTGGGGAAATTTTTTGATTTTTCCTTAAATTCCCCTAAAAATTTGGTAATTTATGGGGGTATATACCTAAATTCAAAAATTCTTTCGGCCGGGGAACGGGGTTTCCAGAATATTATTAAAAAATATGCTGTAAATTAGAGGTCGGCAAAATCGCGTTTGCGAGATCCCGCGGGATAAATCCCGCAAAATCCCGCACTCCCGCAAATCTAAAAAGGTGCGCGATTGCGGGAGCGGTATCGCGCGGTCCCGTCTCGCGCCGCCTCTACTGTGAATAGAGAGATATGTAAAGTTGAAAAAAAGGTGTTTCGTCATCGTCCTCTTGCTATTGAATTGACAGTACTGATCAGTGATGTCAATCTCTGGAACTATGTAGTTCCAGTTCCAGAATTAGGTTTTTAATTTTTGTAGTTCCAGTTCCGGAACTCCATTTTTGAAATTCCTTAGTGAAAATTTTTAGAATTTTAAAAGACTAATTCACAAGATTTCTTCCATTTTCAGCGCGCTGCAGGTAATTACAACAATATTAAAAATCCCGTAAACTTCGTCGAGGAAATTTTGTCAAAGATACATATACCCACAAGAACTAGTTCTAAAGCTAGTTCCAGACATTTACTAGTTCCATAGTTCTAGTTCTGGAACTGGAACTTTGACATCACTGGTACTGATTACTTAATACATACAAGAATTTTATAAAACTGACAATCCCACTAATTACTACAATATAATATTTAAAAAAACACATTACTTATTTCAAAAACTTTCTTTAAAATTTTACAAACATTATGCTTTAAAATTAAGAATTTTTTTAAATTAAAAGCCCCCTTATTAAATTTTATTTAAAAATTAAATTAATTTATTCAAAAATTTTTTATTGACAAGCAAAAATCAATAAAATTTATTTAAAATTTTATATACATACATGTATATACATACATTTTATGTATGTATATACATACGGTGTTGCGACAATTGAGGATACGCACTTGAGGATATGACAAATGAGGACGACAATTGAGGATCTGACATATAAGGGCGACAAATGAGGACGACATATGAGGATATGACAAATGAGGACGACAATTAAGGATTAAAATAATAATAAAAAAAGGTGATCCTTGACCTTTTGAAATTCAAAAATGTTCGCCTGCGGCGCTGGAAAGGGAAGAATTCTTCATTATTGGTCTTCCAAGTGGAGGTCTTCCGAGTTTTATGGATCTTTCAAGTCTTTTTTATTTTTCATTTTTATCCTCATTTGTCATATCCTCAAGTGCGTATCCTCAATTGTCGCAACACCGTATGTATATACATACATAAAATGTATGTATATACATGTATGTATATAAAATTTTAAATAAATTTTATTGATTTTTGCTTGTCAATAAAAAATTTTGAATAAATCGATTTAATTTTTAAATAAAATTTAATAAGGGGGCTTTTAATTAAAAATTAAAATATTCTTAATTTTAAAGCATAATGTTTGTAAAATTTTAAATCAAGTTTTTGTAATAAGTAATGTGTTTTTTTAAATATTATCTTGTAGTAATTAGTGGGATTGTCAGTTTTATATAATTCTTGTATGTATTAAGTAATCAGTACCAGTGATGTCAAATTTCCAGTTTCAGTTCCGGAACTAATTAGTTCCAAAATCCGCCTTCCAAAATCCGCAAATTTTTGCTTACGGCGCTGAAAATGTATGAAATCTTGTTTCTTGAGCTCCAAAATTAAAAAATTTTTTGCCTGTGGCGCTAAAAAGTGAATTCTTTGGCCAACAGCCATCTAAAATTTTAAAAATTTTCGCCTGCGGCGCTGAAAATAAAGATTTTTGTCGCCGAAGGCACCAAAAATTTGGGATAGCAAAAGCTCCCCCCTTGACCCCCCCCCCCCATCTCCAGAAAAAAATCCTGGCTACGGGCCTGGCTCAAGTCAACATAATTTTTCCTTTAATTGTTCGGATTTTAGAGATCAAAGCCCTGGTATATTTTATAAATTTATTTTAAATTTTTATACACAGAATGAATTTAATAAAAAATTATTTAACAAGTTATGCAAACATTATGCTTTAAAATAGGGTAACACAAAACCGTTTAGCTAAACGGTATACGGTAAACGGGTTTTTTGATAAAATTAACGGAACGGTATACGGGTCTCAGATAAACGGTATACGGTAGCCCATGCCCATGCCCTAATAGAAGCCCACTCAATGAGTGGTATTAAAGAATAGAAGCCCGTGCCATATTATAAGGTTACCCGATCGGGGGGGGTATTGAAAAATATAAGCCCAGGGCTTATATTAGAATATTTACGGTATTCAAATTAAAAATCGCTTAGAATAAAAATTAAAATCGCTTAGAAAGTTTTTGAGAAAAAAAACTTTTAAACTTCCGCCCAGAAACCGATATGTACAATCATTTGTGCAGAAATATAATAGAAAATAATTTTTAAAAATAATTTAAAATTTTATGTTTATTTAATATTTATTTACTGTTTAATTATATTACTGTTTAATATATAAATTTTAATAATTTAAGAGAAAATAATGCTTAAGTTGAAATTTTTAAAACTACAATTATTAATTTTATTCTTTTTAAAATTTCGAGGTAAAATTAAATTTAATTCTGACTCGTTTTTGGCAAATGAATTTTTCGGTGACGGTACCGTAGTTCCGGAAATTGAAATACCGCGATACCGCACCGAAAACTAGTCGTTATAGAATTAAATTTAGAGCAAGAATTGACTTTTTATAATAAAATTATTTTAAATTTTAGAGACATTTTCTGGCTGTATGTGCTCCAAGGATTATACTCATAGTCCAAATCATGGTGGCCATAGTCCAGATCATGGTGGCCATAGTCCAGATCATGGTGGCCATAGTCCAAATCATGGTGGCCATAGTCCAGGTGCAAATTCCCCGAGAAGTTTTAAACGGCTTCTTATTGATAAACATAACATTTAAATTATTTAAAGCTAATTATAACCCTGAAGCATCTACCTCACATGGAAATGTCTCATGCCCTTGTGGTGCTTTTCAATTGAATGAATTTAATAAGCGTCCTATAAATTTAACTACTGATAATGGAAATATTAGCTTGAGGATTAAAGCAATCTTTAATAACCAAAATAGAAATGTAAGTAAGAAAATAAATTTTTAGTGAATGTTATGGTATTGATGCTAAGGTATCTCGACTCCCGTTCGGGAAAATTTCCCGAGTTTTTTTCTAGAAACCCTAAAACAAGCCAAAAACAATTCTCAATCATAGGGATTCAGGAAAAAATATGGATTTCTATATACCTAAATAGAAATAGAAAAAAG